GAAGTAGGCTGAGGGGGGGCATGGAGATCGGGGAACACCAAGATATCAAGGCCTAATCCTGACTCGGTCCTCGGAATCTCTCATTTGGAACCTTTCTGCCAGTGAGCTTGTAGTTCAGTTTTCTTTTGTACTCAGACAGATTTTCTTCCTTAAATGTAGTAGTGAATTTAGCCTCCAGCTCCGGCCGTATCTTGTAATGGACTTCCCCTTTTTTTAAAGAACATCATGATGATAAATTCAATACAAGTGCAAAACTTTGAGTACTGCTACAAGTATAGCAAAAAGAGATAAAGGGGAATGTCAATAACATGCTAACAACTTGGGACTGGGGAGAGTTTCTTTATTGTAATGGACTTCCCATATCAATGAAAATGTTTGTTGTTTGACCAAGTGTTGAGTTGAGTATCCTTTGGGGTTCTTTTCAGCAAATGATGTGTGTTTTCCCTTTTTGAACCTGATGTCTTTTTGTTTAAGTGCCTTTATGCTTTATGTCATTAGACTCGTGCACGTCACCCTCAGCACCTTCGGACATAGCCAAATTTTGGAATTAGAAAAACTCCTGGACTTAGACAAAATTTGGTCATCCAATTTTTGAACGTAGATGGAATGCTTTCCTGTCATGTAGCCGATGGGTTAGGGTTCGGGACTTAACTGAGTTTTAAGCACGTGCCTTGTCTCAAATGGTGGACCCTTTGGGGCCTTCCGTAGGGAAAGCGCCCGAAGGGATCTTGATCCATATCTGCACTTTAATTGATTCTTGGTAAAAATGTATGTGGCAATTGGTGCCGCCTCCCTTCGGTCCAATGAAGTAGTTGTGGTTTGGCCAATTCTGGACTCATCCAAATGTTGACATGAGTTATGCGACAAAAGGTTTTGGACTTAGCCAAATGTTGTCTCCTCAAAAAGTACATCGATATTTCTGTGGGGTGTATCTTTTCTCGAGGTTCAACGTAGTAGTTGAGCCCCCGACTGCTCCCCCCCCCTCCCGTTTTAAGAGAGGTACGTGGGGTTCCTCTGTTATGGCCAGGGCTAGCTCAATGGCAGAGTTGGAACTTGGTTCCTTGAGGGATTTGGTCGCTCAGGAGTTATCAGCGCAATCTGTTGCCCCCGGGGTTTAACCTTCTGTGTTACGAGAGTTTTGAGAGTTGTTTCCTGGGTCCATTGTGGTCCGCCAACCCTTTGAGAGAAGGCTTGAAAAACGTCTCGATTATGAAAGTCGTAACTGTAACACCCCCAAATTCCACCCCCAAATATGTTCTAAAACAGCAAGCATAAGGGTTCGAGACTTAACCGAGTTTTGGGCACGTGCCTTGTCTTAAACGGTGGACCCTTCGGGGCCTTCCGTAGGGGAAGCACCCGAAGGGATCTTGATCCATATCTACACTTTAATTAATTCTTGGTAAAAATTTATGCTGCAACTGGTGTCGCCTCCCTTCGATCCAACGAAGTAGCTATGGTTTGGCGAATATCTGGACTCAGCCAAATGTTGACATGAGTTACGCGACCAAAGGTTTTGGACATAGCCAAATGTTGTCTCCTCAAAAAGTACATCGATATTTCTGTGGGTGTATCTTTTTTCGAGGTTCAACGTAGTAATTGAGCCCTCGGCTCCCCCCCCCCCCCCCCTTTTTTTTTTAAGAGAGCTACGTCGGGTTCCTCTGTTGTGGCCGGGGCTAGCTCAATGGCTCAGTTGGAACTTGGTTCCTTGAGGGACTTGGTTCCTTGAGGGACTTGGTCCCTTGGGAGTTACCGGCGCAATCTGTTTGCTCCCCTGGGGTTTAACCTTACGCGCTCTGAGAGTTTTGAGAGTCGTTTCCTGGGTCCATTGTGGTATGCCAACCCTTTGAGGGAAGGCTTGAAAAGCGTCTCGGTTGTGAAAGTCGTAATTGTAACACCCCCAAATTCCACCCCAAAATATGTGTTAAAACAACAAGCATAAATAGTGTTTTCCCAAAACATTTAAGTTCAAAAGAGATTAGATTGCAGCTGAAGTAAAATATCCAATGGGTGATACCGCCACACTCAGTTCTCACACAACCGAATGCACAGGCTAAACCACAATCCAAAAATAGTCCAAGTACTAAGTTCAAACTGAAAGTAAATGAAACAATGACGAGTTCTGAAATTCTAAATCTAATAAATGATTCTAGTAACTAATCTAAGTTATCTAGTGGGGCTCTCTTCAACAAGCATAACCTTCATCACCTACACCAAATAAAGTGCAGAAAACAAAACAAAGAAAAGGAAACAAAGGTTAGCTTTTAAGCTAAGTAAGACACATTCAACCCGTAAAATAATATAGTTTGAGAAAATAGTTTTGATGCATATGTATAGATCCGAAAATCAGTGATATAAAACATAATGTTTTCATAAATAAAAATAACTTTAAGTAAGAAAGATGTTTTCATACAAGTCCAATTTTAAAAACTTCTTTTCAAAATCATACATGATACTCAACCACCAAAACTCATATCCACTAATCTTTCCTAGATTCTTTTAAAGATGGGGGAGCTCCCAAAAAGAGAACCCGAACCAAGTGAATACGTGGTCACCAACTACCACGCATCATCCCAGGTATCTCGGGTAGATTCATAAGCCACTGAGACAACCTATGAACCGCCCAATAAACTCGGACCCATCCAAACCACCAATTGGAAACTGAACATCTACCTTAAATGTGCACACCCTCTAAAAGGGATTCGAAGCCCTCTGAGTAGTAAGAAGTCCAGATAGTCGGGATAAATTTCTACCGACTACCCAAGAAAGGACGAATCATATAAACGTGGAATATGGGCTACTACTACCGCCACAAGAGCCGAAGCCAAAAGAATAATGCTCAAAATATCCAAAACCACCAAAAGAAACCATTCATCAAATAACATTAGTCCTACCCTAGACCATCATATAATAGCCAAAATATTCATTAAACTTCACAAAGAAACTCAAATCATAGCACAACCCTTATTTAATAAAATAGAGGCAAAATAGTAATTTTGGTTGGAATAGTCCTTACCTCGAGGCTAGCAATGAATCCTAGACGTCAAACCTATCTTGAGAGGTCACTCACACGTCCCTAGGAAGTTATATGGTCGAAGGATTACAATTTAGGAGAGAAAAATCAAGAAAATGGAGAAACAATGTGAATTAGGCAACAAACGCACTTACATGAAGATTTAATTGTTTGATCCCGTTCTTGGCCTTAAAAATCTTCTAGAATGTGTTAGGATTGAAGAGGTGTAAGAAATAGAGCTTGGTAAGTTAGAATGTGCTAGAATGTTTTTGGAATGAGGAAAAACGGATTAGGGATGTATTTATAGTGAATTTTCCAAGTTGGATCAAATTGGCCGGAGAAGACGACCGGCGGTCGACCCAACTTCTATGGCTTTGCCGGAGGTTGGTTGGGGGAAGAAGACTGGCCCTCGGATCCGACTGGTGATTTCAAAATAAAGAAGGAAAGAAAGAAAGTAAAGAAGGGAAAGGAAGAGAGAAAGGCGCAAGACAGGGGAGAGGGGGAGTGCGGGAGAAGAAAAGGAGATGGGGAAGAAAGAGAGAAAGAAAGAAAATGAAGGAAAAAAAGGAAAAAACAAATTGAAAAAAGAAAAGGAAAAATACAAAAACTGGATGCCACATCATATGTTTTCACTTGGAAGCAGAATGTTACCTACTAAAAAGCCACTTTGAAATTTTTTACTGGTTTAAGGGTCTAATTGGGTGATATTTGGGTCGATACTCTTAATTGGCATTTTCGTAGCAGTAGGGAGCTTATTTAACATTTTCCCCTAATTTTAATGATGAGAAACAAATAGCTTAGAGGGTATTAACGCCATATTAGTCAGTTTTTGAAATTTATATACTTGATTCTTCTTTTGTGTTGCTTTTAAAAAACCTTTAAAGTTATAACTTTTTACAATTTCTCCACCTCGTTTTTTGACGAATAATGAAATCATTCATGTTTCTTTAATAATAATTTGAACCCAACCATATGGATGCAATACTAAAAGGGCACGACTATTTTTGAGGGATAATTCTACGGTACCCCCCTAGTAGGGGCGCAAACAAGTTGAGCTCGAACATGAGCATGGTCTTGCTCGAACTTGATACGAATGCATTGGCTCAAGCTCAAACGTGAATGAGCCTAATAAGTATGGCCCAAGCTCTGCTCGAGTCCAATTGAAGCTCGAATCGGCTCGAGTTTTGCTCAATAACTTTTATAGGTTCGAGTTTGAATAAGATGTTCGAACTCGAGTTTGAATTTGAGCTAAAAATGATTTTTCAGCTTTTGAAATTAATGATATTACATTTATGCATACAAATAAATAAATCATACATCATATATAATTTTTATACTTTATGGCACTCATTTTAGTAGTTTTCTCTCCTCTAACAGTTTTACACATTGTTTTACTCTTAATTAAGATTTAAAATATATAAGTATATATATACAATTTTTGTGTGTGTAAATATGCTATGACTTGCGAGCATATATGCTACATGGAATTGCGCTAGAGCTCAGATTGATTGTTTAACGAATTGGCACAAGTTCGAGATTCACCGAACTCGATCAAGTCGTGTTTTGACCGAGCGGTTCACAAGGAGTTCATGAGCAGCTTGGCTCGTTTGCACCCCTACTTCAACAAGCAGTTCAAGGTATCATATAGTGTACACATGGAGCAATTGAAATATTATAATTCGGTAATTGAAACATAAATAAATGATGAAATGATGATATGGATCATATGAATTATAGGTACATACGCTCATATTTGTTTTTTTTTTTTGTTTTTAAGAAATACACACAATTATATATGACAAATATACAACCAGAAAACCAATAAAATAAATCCCATTTGGTGAGCTTAAATGTCGGTATGTGTATGGGAGACTGGTGGGTAACATTAATCTTCAACAATCTCTCAAACTTCAACCTCACATTACACAAGAGATTAGAATTAGTTGGTGATTACACTATAAAAACCTTTGCATGCTCTAAAATCATTTACCACCTAGCTAGCTAGCTGCACATCAAACCTTATTAAGGGTTATCAACCCTTAATTAATTATATCTAGCTGGCTGGCTGCTCATCAAAGCTTATTAGGGTTATTAACCCTTAATAAATTCCTACATCCATAAAACGTTGGTCTAAAGGCCGGGTTCGATCTCCATATATAAATATTTCAATACATACATAAAAATGGATATCAATAATAAAAAGACTCTAGGATTATCAATCCTCGCCCTTTTTGTGGTGGTGGTTGTCGTTTCCGCGGCCGTTTTTGTGACACAAAAAGAGGAAACCTCGGCGGCTGATCATAGCAGTGGGACCAATATGTCATCGTCAACCAAAGCTGTGGAAGCGGTGTGCAAGCCAACATTACACAAGGAGGTGTGCATGGCCAAGCTCTCTTCCGCTAGTAACAGCACCGACACCAAGGATCTCATTGAAGTCGCTTTCAACGTCACGGTCCAAGAGATATCCGACGTCATGGCTAAGTCTAAGCTCCTCCGTAATGCCGCAAAAGATCCTCGGACCTCCAAAGCCTTCGAAGTCTGTCATGATCTTTTAGAAGACTCCATTGATGACATCAAGCGTGCCTTGGATAGACTCACAGACTATGCCTCGGCTGCTACGAATCTCGAGCTCTTCATGAATGACATTAAGATTTGGCTCAGTGGTGCATTAACATTCGAGAACACTTGCCTTGACGGATTCCTGGGCACAGAAGGTGATATATAAAGAAAACATACTACATATATGCATATATAGGAATGTTTATATATGCATACATAGGAATGTTTGTAGGATCCATCTGTTTCGACAAACTCCGAGCGGGTCATACATTCTTGAAGTTTTCTATAACGTGGTCGCTTAACTACAGAGTTCTGTGGTTAAATAGCAATCAAATCCTTCTTAAAACCAATTACTGGTAAGGAGGTGGACACCCTCTATTGAACACATTAGTCTATGACCTCAAGTCAAAGTAGACTCATGTTGAACATCTCCACACTTCACTACGACAATGTAGAGCCCCACTACTGAGCAGTGGATGGACATGAGGGGTTGCACCACATCATGCGGTTAAAACCTGAATCATAGGGTGGTGTTGATCCCCATAACACCAACAATGTTTAATGTTACTTAAATGTAAAATGATTTATCTTCTAATGATCATGCAGGTGACAGTGGTGATAAGATGAAAGAGCTATTGGTAACCGCTCAGCAGCTCACAGGCAATACCTTGGAAATGGTTGATGAGATTCATCAGGTGTTGATGGCACTGGATATTCAAGGTCTTAACCGAAAACTGTTGGTTGTGAACAATAATAAGCAGCCAAAGATCTTGTCTGCACCTTGGTGGACAAGCGACGATGATGCGACCCAAAGGCGCAGTATGCTTCTCGAAGCTGGTTCTGATTATTATAAGGTGGCCGATGTTATTGTCGCTAAAGATGGATCAGGGAAATACACGACAATCAATGAGGCACTAAATGATATCCCACTCGAAAGCACAAAACCTTTCGTCATATACATTAAATATGGCGTCTACGTCGAACATGTCGTTCTTGACAAGAAGATGACAAATGTGGTTTTTGTGGGAGATGGTCCCACAATGACTAAGATCTCCGGAGACAGAAGTTATGTTGGTGGTTACCAGACTAGTGAAACCGCAACGCTCAGTAAGTATATTTATATATATAGAACTTTGTCATATCATATTATTAAATATACTCCATATACAAAAATTATATAAAATCTCTTCAAAATTCTAAACTCTAAATTAGAATATAAAATAAAAAAAATTGACATTTTAATTAAGTAAATAATATTAAATTGTTTGAACAAAAAAAAATTGTAAATCAATTTGGGACAGATGTAATAAGTAGTAAAGTTGTACATACAATTAAACTCATGCACTGTGTCATGCGTGTGATGTGCAGCAATCAAGGGTGATGGTTTCATTGGAAAGGACATAGGCGTTGAGAACACTGCCGGCCCTAGCAGCCATCAGGCCGTCGCTCTCCGAGTCCAGGCTGATCGTGCGATGTTCTTTAACTGCCAAATCGACGGCAACCAAGACACCCTCTACGTCCACGCCCATCGACAGTTCTACCGGGACTGTACCATCACCGGGACCATTGACTTCATCTTCGGCAATGCTGCTGCCGTCTTCCAGAACTGCAGCCTCATCATCAGGCGTCCCCTCGTCACCGACGGTTCAGGCCAATCCTGCATGGTCACGGCTCAAGGAAGGTCACAGGCAGACGAGCCCACCGGAATCGTGATTGTCGACTCCTCCATCACCGCATCGCCGGAGTACTTGAGCTCCACGACCCCAATCGTGTCGTTCCTTGGACGGCCGTGGAGGCAATACGCAAGGGTAGTGATGATGAATACGCAAATCGATGTGCACATATCTCCGGAGGGGTGGGCCCCGTTCCAAGGGACGTTTGGGCTGGAAGACTGTTGGTACGGAGAGTTCGGGAATAGCGGAGAGGGAGCGGACGTGGGCGGGAGAGCCAAGTGGGCTGGTGTAACAGGTGCAATTACGGAAGGAAAGGAAGAACTGAAGGATGGGACCCAAGAGGACAAACAAGTGGCAAATAACGGAGGAAAAAGGCGGAGCACTCGTAATAAAATAACTAACACTATGCTAAATGATTTTGTGTGGTCCCATAAGTAGTATAAATAATTAGCCAATTTTATCAGATAAGGCATGGAAGTTGTATGTCTTATTCTCTTCTCCTGAAACATTCTGTTAGCAATAATTCTGTCAGACTGCTAACTTTGGCCAGAAAATGCCTTACGTTCTCTTCATTTTCCTATTTTAGAATAGTTCTCTTGCTGTGATTTACTTCACTGTTACATTGGTGCTTTCATCATTCGAACATGGCGGAAGGTACTCGCCTGAAGGAGCTCTCTGCAAACATTACGAAGATGATGGAAATGTTGGAAGCAGATAAGCGAGAGAATAATGTGAGATTCGAAACACTAGAAGCTACAGTAAGTACCTTGTTGCAACAGAACAATAGCAAAGGGGATTATCAACAAGGGAACGTTGCGGGTCACCTGTCAGCAAGTAGTAGTGCAGCTCATCAACCATTTCAGGTGAGAAATGTTAAATTAGATTTTCCACGCTTCGATGGATCTGGAGTTCTTCAGTGGATATTCAAGGCCGAACAATTCTTTGACTACTACAATACACCGGATTTTCAGCGCATCACCATCGCTGCCATTCACATGGAGAAAGAGGTAATTCCCTGGTTCCAGATGACTAATCGATCAACTCCGTTTCAATCCTGGACGGATCTAACTCGTGCTTTAGAAATCGAATTTGGCCCATCACCCTATGAAAGTACTAGATCTCTGTTATTCAAACTATCACAAACTGGATCCGTTCATGACTATTATACTCAATTTACGGCTTTAGCAAATCGAGTCCAAGGTGTCACCAGGGAAGCGCTGTTGGATTGCTTTGTGGGGGGGCTGAAACCGGATATTCAGAGGGAGGTCATTGCTCAATCTCCTACGACACTACTCCGGTGTGCCTCTCTAGCAAAGTTATTTGAGGAAAAATATATCAAACCAAATCACAATACCTTCCAGAATCGTACAGTGAGCTCTATCACTAATTCACACCCCCACACAAGTTTACCTTCTTCTCAATCTATAAAGTCTACAAATCTGCCGCCACTATTACCTAAACCTGTCACAAACCCCAGTCCTAGCTTCCAGAAATCAGCAAGTATAAAAAAAATCTCACCAGCAGAAATGCAGTTGAGAAGAGAGAAGGGTTTATGCTACACTTGTGATGAGAAATTTACCTCTTCTCACAGGTGTCCTAACAAGCAGTATTTATTACTGCAAATGGACGAGGTTGAGAATGTGGAAGTACCACTGGAATCATCAGCTACAAGTGAGACAGAATTGGAGCAGTTAACCTTGGAGCATCACTTGTCTTACAATGCTTTGAAAGGCTCTTCTGGTGTAGGAACTATGAGGTTTCAGGGGACTATTAACGGGATGATGATTCAGATATTATTGGACAGTGGAAGTTCTGACAATTTTTTGCAACCAAGGATTGCGAGTTGCTTGAAACTACCAGTGGAACCTGCATCCAAATTTCAAGTGTTAGTTGGCAATGGACATTCTTTAATAGCTGAAGGATTAGTGAGACAACTGGACGTGAGAGTGCAAGGCCATTCATTGAAAATTCCGGTTTATCTCTTACCCATTTCGGGTGCGGATTTAGTGCTAGGAGCCACATGGTTGGCTACCTTGGGCCCTCATATTTCAGATTACAGTAAGCTCACCTTGAAGTTTTATAAGGGGAATCAGTTTATTACACTACATGGGGATCAACCAACACTTCCGCAACCTGCTCAATTCAATCAGCTCAGGAGAATGCATCACACTAATAGCATTGCTGAAATTTTTATATTACAAAATCAGCAGAAAGCCATACCTCATGATGAGAAGCTGGAATTACCTACAACAATGCCACAAGATATGAGAGAACTGATATTAAAATACAACACGGTTTTTGCCGTACCTACTTCCCTACCCCCATCAAGAACTCATAATCATGCCATTCCATTGATCAAAGATGCCAAACCAGTGAAAGTACGCCCCTATCGATATCCACACAGTCAGAAACAACAGATTGAAACAATGGTCAGTGCTATGTTAGAGGATGGGATCATTACTCCTAGTACCAGCCCATTTTCTTCACCGGTTATATTGGTCAGAAAAACGGATGGGTCTTGGCGATTTTGCACTGATTACAGGGCTTTGAATGCTCTCACCATTAAAGATTCTTTTCCGATTCCGACGGTTGATGAATTATTGGATGAATTGTTTGGCTCCAAATACTTCTCCAAACTTGATTTGCGATCAGGGTATCACCAAGTACTTGTCAATCCAGAGGATAGACATAAAACGGCTTTTAGAACACATCATGGACACTATGAATGGGTAGTAATGCCTTTTGGGCTCACCAATGCTCCGGCAACCTTTCAGAGCCTGATGAATGAGGTTTTTCAGAAATTCCTTAGAAAATGTGTTTTGGTTTTTTTTGATGATATCTTGATATATAGCCCTACCTGGAAGGAACATCTGGTACATGTGGAAATAGTCTTCTCCCTGCTTCATGATAACCAGTTGTTTGCCAAGCTATCAAAATGCTCGTTTGGATTACAACGGGTGGATTATTTAGGCCACACTGTTTCTGGAGAAGGGGTGTCGATGGACATGAAGAAAGTACAAGCAATAGTAGATTGGCCAAAACCTGTTACTTTAAAACAGTTGAGAGGGTTTATAGGACTCACAGGATATTACCGGAAATTTATTCAGTCTTATGCTAAGATTGCCGCACCCTTGACAAACATGCTTAAACAAGACAACTTTCGGTGGGAGAAAGAGGCAGATGAAGCTTTTACCAATCTAAAAAAGGTAATCACTCAAGCACCAGTATTGGCCTTGCCTAACTTTTCTAAACCATTCATTTTAGAAACTGATGCTTCGGGCATGGGTATTGGAGCAGTACTAAGCCAAGACAACCATCCCATTGCTTACTTTTCGAAGAAGCTGAATTTTAGTATGCAAAAACAGTCTGCTTATGTAAGAGAATTCTTTGCTATTACGGAGGCCATAGCAAAGTTCAGACATTACTTGTTGGGGCACAGATTTATTATTCGAACCGATCAAAAGAGCCTTAGATCACTCACGGATCAAGCCATTCATACACCGGAGCAGCAAAAATGGGTGCATAAGTTGCTGGGGTACGATTTCTCCATTGAATATAAACCAGGGAAGGAAAATATAGTTGCTGATTCTCTCTCTCGGTCCTTCTTGATGGCCGTATCTGAACCTAAGTTGCACTTAATTTCCGCCTTAAAGGAAGCCTTGTCACAGGATACTCAATTGCAGGGTATTCTACAAAAGTGTTTACAAAACCAGCATCCTGATCCGAATTATTCAGTTTCGGATCAATTACTATATTGGAAAGGAAGATTGGTGTTACCTAAGAGCCATGAATTAGTTCAGAAGGTTATGGGTGAGTTCCACAATACGCCGTTGGGCGGTCATTCTGGCATTACTCGAACATTTCAGCGAATTGCTTCTCAATTTTATTGGCAAGGAATGCAAAAAGATATCAAGGACTTCGTACAAAACTGCCTTCTGTGCCAACAAGCTAAGCATGACACATCACTGCCTTCAGGGCTACTGGAACCATTGCCTATACCGGCCCTTATCTGGGAGGAGGTGGCTATGGACTTCATCATAGGCCTTCCTTCTTCTAATGGACACACAGTCATTATGGTGGTTATTGATAGACTGTCCAAGTATGCTCATTTGGCTAGTTTGAAATCTGATTTCACTAGCAAGGAGGTAGCAGAATTGTTTATTAAAACAGTGGTCAAATTGCATGGGTTTCCTAAGTCAATCATCTCTGATCGTGATAAGGTGTTTACTAGTCAATTTTGGCAACACTTGTTCAAGTTGAGTGGCACTACATTGAAATTAAGCACGGCTTACCATCCTCAAACGGATGGCCAATCCGAAGCTTTAAACAAATGCATTGAAATGTATTTAAGATGCTTTACTTTTGCTAATCCTAAAGCGTGGTGCAAATATTTGCCATGGGCTGAATATTGGTACAATTCATCCTTTCATCATAGCACTGGCATCACTCCTTTCAAGGCTGTGTACGGGAGAGAACCCCCTTCGCTAGTTCGATATACATTCAATAATCAGGACCCTCCTAGTGTTCAAGAACAACTAAAACAAAGGGATGCTATCCTCGATCAATTAAAGGAAACATTGCAGAGAGCACAACAACACATGAAAAAGTATGCTGATCTCAAAAGGAAACCTTTTCAACTGGAGTTGGGTGATATGGTTCTAGTAAAGCTTCAACCATATAGGCAGCACTCTGTAGCCTTGCGCAAAAATCAGAAACTTAGTCTGCGCTACTTTGGGCCATTTCCGGTGATTCAAAGAATTGGTGAAGTAGCTTACAAGCTTCTCTTACCTACCTCGGCCAAAATTCATCCCGTTTTTCATTGCTCACAATTGAAACTGTGTAAAGGGAATCATGATACTGCGTATGTACCATTACCCATTACTACTTCAGATGTGGCACAGATATTGCAGCCAGAGGCCGTTCTTAAGTCGAGGATTATTCTCAGGCATCAACAACAGGTACCCCAACATCTCATCAAATGGGAGGGACAAGAGGAGAAGGAAGCTACCTGGGAAGACTCTGCAGCTTTTGAGTTAGCTTTCCCTGACTTCAACCTTGAGGACAAGGTTTCTTTTAAAGGGGAAGGTAATGTAACAGGTGCAATTACGGAAGGAAAGGAAGAACTGAAGGATGGGACCCAAGAGGACAAACAAGTGGCAAATAACGGAGGAAAAAGGCGGAGCACTCGTAATAAAATAACTAACACTATGCTAAATGATTTTGTGTGGTCCCATAAGTAGTATAAATAATTAGCCAATTTTATCAGATAAGGCATGGAAGTTGTATGTCTTATTCTCTTCTCCTGAAACATTCTGTTAGCAATAATTCTGTCAGACTGCTAACTTTGGCCAGAAAATGCCTTACGTTCTCTTCATTTTCCTATTTTAGAATAGTTCTCTTGCTGTGATTTACTTCACTGTTACAGCTGGGATCAAAGGAGCCATTAGTGAAGAGGTTGCTGGAGGATTTCTTCCTGGAAAATTCATTCTAGGAGATTCTTGGATCCCTCTTACTGCACTGCCTTATGCTCCTGGCTTCATGCAAAGTGGAGGAACTAGTGAGGGTCATGGGTGGGCAAGCGTCCCCGCACCGAGTCCAGAACACTACTAGTACTTATGTAATAGAGATCTGCCCCGCTTTATTTACATTTGAATAATATTAATTTTTATATGAGTCTTTAGATTCAAATGTTGTCGAAAGTGCTATAAAGAAACACTATTGCCTTGGAAGAAAAAATTCCACTATTATTTGAATCCAAACCAATACCATTTTGATCACAAGTATTATCTAAATAGGACAATCTTATCTAGAGCATTGGATGGAAATGAAGCATTCTCACTAACGTTACACAATAAGGAACTACTTTATGATTATTTTGTACACCGCCCATCTTGAAACCAAGTCTCCATTTCAGTTTATGATGCATTAATGAGGGTGAATGTAATTCTTCTCTAACAATATTTAAAATTAGATACCGATAGGCGTAGCTCAACTGGTAGCGAAGGAGTGTCACCCGGGTTAGGTCCCGTGTTCGAATCCCAGCAACTGCGATGAGAGGTTACTATGTTAAAATGCATAGGCCTCTGCAAGTACCGAGGACATAACTCCACTCTATATCTGTCAGATTGAGATTATAGTCCAATTTACATCCTCCCAACGTACCGTCCGGTCGGGGTTGGGAGCCCCTCAGGGATGGGGTGTCATCCTCTTTTTTAAAATTAGATAAATAATCGAAATTTTATATTTAGAAATTGCACTAATATGAATAGCAAAATCAGTCGACAACACTAAAATAGGCATGCATTGCCCATATTTCTCAATTCTCATGAAATGTCACATATTTTGGTGAGAAAACGGCTTTCGCATAGATTCACTGATGACTCAACAATGCCAAGAAGGCCTAGACTCTAGAGCAGATTCAAACCTAAAAAAATACATTAAGCAATACTAAGGATGTTTTTACTTGGACTGTAATTTGCTGGGCTGGTCTGGTCTGGTCTGGTCTGAGCTGGTCTGGTCAAGGTCTGGTCTGATTTCTTTGTATTTTTATAACTATCCAAGTCTGGTCAGATCTGGTCTGAACTGGTCTGGTTTGGTCTGATCTGGTGTGAGACGAATTACAGTCCAAGTAAAAACATCCTAATTGACCGTTGAAAGACCGTTTTTGTGAGAAGTGCCAAAATGCGAGTGCTTTTGAGCTTAATTCTTGCCAGAAAAGAGACGAGAAAGCGGAGCTTTCTCACAGGTTGTCGCTTAGCAAAAGTCCGGCATTCTTATTTGCGCTTTTAAGAAGTTTGCCCGGATCTGATTTATTTAGACATTAAAAATCCTGTTTGGCAAGGGTTAACTTAAGATGCTAAAATTGCTCTTTTGAAGTTGTGGTTTAAATGGAGAGCTGCTTAGTTTTCTTTTTAAAAACTACTGGTATTTCAAAATACATTTTAAATGAAATAAAAAATACGCTGTATAATATCTAAAACTAAGGCTAAACGTAACGTGTGCATTACTTTTTTCATTGTCGGTCACAGATTCATCCAGCACAGTGATAATAGTTGGTGTTTAGCAAAAGCTGGTTAATATAAAGCCTAAACTAAGTTGACTGGGGAATTGGTAATGTGGAGATTATTTGCTACAAAGTTGGACTCCTTAATGAATTGTGGTTTTCATCTTTTTTATTTAATGAAAAGGTCAATAATGGTACAAACCACCCATGATATTGCCATGTCTCAGAAAGAGGAACCCGTAGAGAACATTGTGAGAACCATTTCTCTGTATTTTGGTGTCTGGACTGCCTGTATAGAGGAAACTGAGAAAATAGCTGAGGGGAACATATGAAGAAGCATGTGGATCACGAGACACGTATTGGTTCTGAATTGCATATTAATGAAGAAAAGAAAGCAGTAGTTGCTGCTGGTTATGAAACCATTGCATCTGTCCTGGCTTTTCACTCTATTCAACAGCTCTTTGCTATTGAGACCACAGATGGTAGGCTGAAAGCCGTTGGAGGGAACAATATTGAAAGCCTTATGGTCAGATAATCCGGAAGGGGCAGAAATGTTGAGGCCAATGCCAGCTCACTTTCAAAGCCTGCTTTGCTCGAAGAGACAGTTGTTGAAGCTGCAGAGGACATATGGGATCACTATGGATATGAATTAGGGACTGATAATTCAGGAATCTTCAAAGCGCTTTCGAACATCAATTTTAACGTTAGAGTTGCTGCTGCTGAAGCAATTGCTGCAGCTTTAGATGATAACCCTGATATAATTCAGGAGTCGTTATCAACATTATTTTCAGTATATTCGTGATGCTGGACTTGATGAGGACATCATTGATGCTGGCTGGATGGACAGCCAAGGGATTGCATTGGCTTTACACTCCGTTTCTGATGTGCTTAGAATCAAAGAACTTCCAGTTGTCATGACCTTCCTAACATCAAGGGCGCTGGCTGATCCTAATGTGGATGTTTGGGGAAGAATGATTAATGCTGGTATAATGATTATTGACAAGCTTGGAAATAAAAATGTCTCCCTGCTATTCCCAATTTTTGAAAATCGCTTGAACAAAAAGGCATCCGATGAAGAGAGAGATGATTTGGTGCTTGAAGGTGTTGTGATATTCACTTGTGCCTTGGCAAAGCATTTGGCGAAGGATGATCCAAAGTTTCTTGCTGTTGTTGAAAAGTTGCTGGGTGTACTGAACACTCCTTCTGAAGCTATTCAACGAGCAGTTTCCTCCTGTCTTTCTCCTCTAATGCAATCAAAACAGGAGGATGGGCATGTTCTTATTTCGAGGCTTCTAGATAAATTAATGAAGAGTGACCAGTATGGGGAGCGCCGAGGAGCAGCATTTGGACTTGCAGGGGCAGTTAAAGGATTCAAAATTTCCTGCCTAAAGAAATATGGTATTGTAAAAGCCTTGAATGAAGGATTTCTTGACAGCAAAAGATGTGCAATGGTAATTCTGCATAACCTGGACGGGTTGGCGGACCATGTCATTACTCTTCTGCAGTTAACAGAACAGCAGATCCACACAGGGTTGAAGAATGCCAAAGCTTGGAGTTTTCATAATCACAAGTTCCTTCAACTCGTCAAAGACATGGACACACTCATTGCTGGGGATGATGGTTTGTTTCTGGAAAGACGGGTTGCAGCAATATCAAAGCAGTTAACTGCTACATACGGAAAAGCACAGCACAAGGAAACATTTGTTGCTATTGAAGGCTTGAAGGCGACTGAAGAGAATGAAACTTCACCAGATATAACTTCTGCGGCAGAAACATCTGTAATTTTGGAGGTTCAAGCATTGAAGCACATGGTTCAGTCGTCAGGGAGATACTGGGAAGGAAGAGGCGCAAGGATGAAGAAGAAGAAGATGCTGGTTAGGGCTGTTTCCTATCACCCACCTTGAGGACAAGGTGGTTGTATAAGGGAGAGATATGATAGGGACCCGGGCTAATTAGTAGAGTTAATAATAGTAATAGAATAATATCAAATAATTTGTTAGTGTACAAGTGAGGGTTTGGGCCATGTGATTCAGGAGCTTGGGCCAGCTCTTAAGGATAGAAATATTATAAAAGGGGGAAGGAGGGAAGTAGGGAGGCAGGGGTTTAGACTGGGATTTGGGAGAGGGAGACTGCTCTAAGTGTCTCGATACTGTTCATCTTATTCATTCTCTAGTTTTCTGCTTGTTACCTTACTGGATTCTGAGGTTTTACTTAGAATTCATTAAATAATAGTTTAATATTACTGTTTGTTCTGGAAGTTCCTATCAGAAGCATGATAGATTGAAGCTGAGTTTTCTCATGTTGCAGTGAAGGCATGTCTCAAAAGGTTCCTAATGTTCCACAAACAAGTATAGCGCCGACCTAATTTGTTGTCGGATAACAAGACTTAGTTTATCATGTTCCAGGGGCAAAAGTGTACATACACAATGACATATCTAAGAAGGAGGTGTCTCTGTAGGAAGATATAACTGTACTTGGAGGCATGGCATATAAGTTATAACTGTGGTTCAATAACATCTTACAACTTCATTCAGAAGCTCTACGACTTCTTCAATAAGTGTGATTCTGAAATGTCCCAAGATGTGAGCATTTTTTTTATGTTGTTCAAACTTTTGGTAAGAATATAATGACGGAGGTTTGAAATTTCATTATAGATTGTTGGTCAGATACATACTTGTGAACACACCAATAATGTTACTATATTGCCCGCTGACGTTTTCCCACATCAAAGTGAACATCCAAGAGACCTCTTATCCCGGCTTCTATCTTTTGTCCTACCACAACTGGACCAACACCCTCAGGAGTGCCTGTTGAAACACACACATACACACACAAAACATTAATGAACGTGGGTGTAATGTACCAACCTCTCTTGTGATATACAAATCCTATACACTAGCCCCATGTGTTTTGAAAAATGTGTCAAATCTTGCCACATAAGTACTAAAGTAACTTTGGATCCTGGGATAAAGGAAAGATTGAAAGAAAGTGAATTTGTTATGTTTGGTTTAATCTTAGAAAATGCAACAGAAAATGAAATATAATTATTGGTTTAAATAAAATTGTTTATACTAACCTTTGTTCTCTTTTAGTTACAACACTTACTTTTACAGTTGCGGATGCAAAATAAAATCACTACTATAATTAATTATGTAACATCAATTAATTTTGATCATAATTAATTACGAACGTTTTGTTGATTTAATATATTTGCTGGTTTAACGATAAAAAAAAGTTAGATTGTGCGTAAAAAGTGCCATGCTTCAAGTAATTTTGATCGTAAATGCTTTCACTTTGCACCATTCATATACCTTACTATAACTAGAATTGTTTTACACGTATATAAATGTAAATTATACTACCTTGTCCCTTAAAGTTTTGACATCTTTGACTTTTCAAGTCAATGGTAGTAATTTTATGAAAGATAAATTTTATACTTTTATGAATGTATTTTCAACAAAAAATATTTTCATATCATTTTTACATTATAAATAACTTCCTGTAAAAATATATCATTGGTCAAAGTTTTATTTGATTGACTAAAAAATCAAATATGGCAAAGTTGTAAGGGATGGAGGGAGTATTATTTAAATATTATTAATTTGTCACGATGTATATTAATAAAAGATCAAATTTGTATAATTTTTGTTGTTACATAATTAATTATAGTAGTGATTGTATTTTTGTTGACAATACAATCAGAGAAAAAGCAGGAAACAAAACGATAAAAAGCTTTTTGTCTGTCGTCCGTCCTTGAACCACACTTAGAATCTATCACCTTTTGTTGATCATGTAATGAGCACTGAGCCAATGACAGGCAAACCAAACTTTTCATCACCTGACCTAAATTCTAGAATCTTTCTACTAGGAAATAAGAACACGCTGAAAACAAACATAATAAAACGGAATTAAAACAGAATTCATTCATGTTCTTCCAAACCCTAGACTCTCTTGCACTTCATGGCGGTGACTCGGGAGGGGAACTAGCCCGCCGGTCATTCGCCTCAATAGTCATGCTTTTGTATTGATTGACGATATCGTCCATTGATATCCCTTGCTGCTGAATCGAACCCAAGCTCCTCCACAACTTATCCGCCTTTTCTTTGTCTACTCTCGCCCCACGACCAAAAACAATAGCAGAAGATGAGCCACGACCGCCAAAGCGCTGCATCCCTGATCACGAGCCTGCTTGCACGACCAAAATCCACCGACGGCCGCTCTTCGTCAATGAGAGGGAGAGACCACCTTTCCCACCCACGATCTAAAATAAACTTTTATTATCACCCACATTTTCTACCCTTCATTTTTTTGCTGTCTTGCTTCCTTTTTCCTTTATTAGTTTCTCAGAATCCTAATAGAGCTTAAGAAAGTTTCTGAGTAAAAATGATAAGAAATGTATGAACTTGTGTTTTGATTCATAGAAATGTAAAGCAACGCAGAGGCAGAAAAACAGCAGTGTATATGTGTATAGTAGTGATAATCTATGAAAATATATGTTAAAGTATTAAGCTTTGACCTTTATCGTATAAACATTTAAGCGTTACACATAAAGCAAACATCTACCAGACTAGACCTAAATAGACCAAACTACATTACAAAATTTTCATCCAATTAAAAACATCATTATATTTGCTCACACCTTTTCAAGATTGACTGCACACACAACTACTCCGTAAAAGAACTTCCGATGTTTGAACTTCAAAAGGAGAAAAGCTTTGTATTTAGGGCAGATTGGCCATACACAATAACGAAGCAAGTAAAGTTAAAAAATCCATACCTGTTAAAATGACGTCACCCTCAAGCAGTGTCATGATAGAGCTTATGTGGCTAATCAAGTATGGAATCTTGAATATCATATCACGGGTAGAGCCTTCTTGACGAATCTCCCCGTCAACCTGTATAGGACAGCGTAGAGATCACAGATCAACCTATGTAATGATCACACAATGCAAAAAAAATCCATGAAAGGAAAAGTACTACTCAGTACTCGCTCCTAATTTTAATGTCACATTCTCTTTAGGAACATAGCTTTTAGGCAATGCACTTTTTATAGGGATTTACTTAATTACTTTTATACCAGGTCAAAAATTAACGGAAGAGAACCAAATAGAATCTTGTACTATTTTAAATTTATTATCTTAATCCTTATACTAAAAAAGGATCATATGACATTGAAAATGTTTCTTTTTTTACAAAATAACTAAAAATATTCATAACTTCTTTTTATTTTGAATACCTTTTTTTTGGCATATCGTTGTATCATTTGTAAATTTCACATTATTTGTATATTTTGAAATTAAACTATTTTCAAATTTGTAGCAATTTTTTTCATTCTAAAAAGGGTGACATGCAGTAAAATGCTTAGATTTATTGTTTTTTTCAAACTACGCTTGCTTATACAATAACTTTTAGTATAAGGGTTTACCCGTCGGATTGAAATAGTAGAATGTTCTATTTAGCAGTATTTTTTGGCTGATATTCCAAAAATATAATGGGAGGTGTTAGATGTTCAAATAATTGTAAAATAATACATTTATGTAATAAAGTTAAATCAATATCAGGAATGAGACAATAAAATTGAGGCTAAAGGGTCAAATAGGCCCTTGAACTAAAAGTGTTCAATTAGCCCCTTATATAGGAGGTTCTGTCCAGCCGTCGCCAATTCGGGCGGTTCCCGGTGAAATTTTTTGATGACATTTTTTGAGCATGTTCTTCATTAAATCTAGTTTACTCATACCAAATTTCAGCTAAAAATTCATCGGAGAAGGCAGTCAAATGAGTTTTTGAAGATAACTGCGCAGTTAAACAGCGCAGTACATTTCGGAAAATCATTTGACTGCCTTCCCGATTTAATTTTTAGCTGAAATTTGATATGGGTAAACTAGACTTGATGAAAAAGATGCTCAAAAAATTTCATCAAAAATTTCAACTGGGAACCTTCCCAATTGGCGATGACCGGGCTGAACCTCCTATATAAGAGGTTAATTGAACACTTTAAGTTAGTTCAAGGGTCTATTTGACCCTTAAGCCTAAAATTGAGATTGATGAAAAAGCAAACTGGGGTATCATCTTTAGGAGTGAGGGAGTATTAATGTTACCTTCAACCATAACTCCAAATCATGGGGATCTGGCACCATTGACGGTGGAAGCTGCAAAGAAACAGTTTAAGTATCTTTATTAAATGGTGAGTGATTACCTAAGCAAGAAAGTAAAGAGCTTAAAGCCAATAAAGACTAAGAAAAATGTCTAAAGACTTAAATTAATAAACAAATGTTCAGATCTGGGGTTTGTTGGGGTTCATGTATATAGAGGTGATAATCGAGTACTTGGATTTCTTAAGGATCGTGTAAGTTCACTTTCCGAATTGATATTTCTCCCCTATAATCTAGTATAATCCTTAAGGACACTCTAGACCTTAGGCACAAGAACTAGAGCCAAACTAGTGAGTGTATGGAGGATTGTTTTCTTAATTTGAACGCCAAAAGTGATAACGATATGTTGTATATCTTCCCTCTTACTTCTCTATACGAAATATGGTGATATGTATCCATATTACACGTTTGAGAATAACCGTGGCAGTTTTTGGAAAACTGCACGAAACTGCCCAACCGCTCTAGACCTCGGTCTAGAACCACAGAGTCGGTTACTGAGTGTTCTACCTCGAGTTCCACTGTCGTAGACACTTTGGAATAAAACTCGTTCTTATATACAAGTGTGCACTCCACACCTACTAGCTTGTATTAGAACACGGTTCTAATCCCCATTGGCACTCATGTCATTTCCAATTACACAAAAATAACCAACAATCCTCCCCCATTTTAGTGTAACCCATGAAATGACATAACAAAGTTTTCAAACCAAAACTTGTACATAAATGAAAATGTCGATATGATTGAATTTTCATCTTAATATTTTACACATTCCAAATATTCGAGAATCGGGGTGTCCTATGGATTGAACCCATCAACCCATTTGAATAGCTGAAGATAAAATACATACAAGTTTCTATACTCAACTAAAATACAAATTTGACACAATTATAAAGCTGTGTGTCCTAATCCCATTCATGACCGTATAAAAGCCAAGTCCTAAGCCTTTTGAAATGCAGCTAACTTCTATATAGGTCTTTCACGATACGGCCACTTTTGGTCTTCCTAATTTGTGGTGTTTCGGGATCTGAGACACCATCCAAACTTTCTGGATGTTGCATTTTACTAGAGCTTGGAAGTAAATCCTTTGATCTTTGAATTGATGAAAATCTGATCTCATCAAAGATTGCATCCCGAGACTCAATCACGGTGTTAACCGCTACCGCATTGTTAGGTTCTATTACATAAAACCTATAGACTTTGGAATTTTCAGCATACCCTATGAATATGCAATCAATTCCCCTTTCTCCCAAAATTTTCCTTTTGGGCTCGGGCAATTTTACAACCGCCCTACAACCCCAAATCCGAAAATATTTCAAATTTGACGTTTTTTTGTACCAAAGCTCATATGGGGTTGTCTTGTTCCGTTTGTTTGGAACCCTATTTAGAACATAGCAGGCCGTGAACATGACCTCTCCCCAAAACCCTTCACTCAAACCTGAGTAGGAAAGCATGAAGTTAAACATTTCCTTTAAAACTCGATTTTTCCGTTCAACCACACCATTTTGTTGTAGTGGATACGCAGCCGTGGTCTCATGAATGATTCCAACAGATTGAAAATAATGGGGATCCATATATTCTCCTCCCCGATCGGTCCTAAGACATTTAATTGGATTACCCAATTGCAATTCAACCTCGGTTTTATACACTTTAAATTCCTCTTAAGCTTCATCCTTGGTGTGTAATAAATACACATAACAAAACCGAGTTGAATCATCAATAAAAGTAACAAAATACTTTTTATTGGCAAGGGAAGGAGTTGAGTGAAAATCACATAGATCATTATGTACAAGATCCAAAATAGCCGAATTCCTTTCAATATTAGGAAACGGTTTTTTTGTGATCTTAGTAAGCATGCAAGTCCTACACTTATCATTATTAATATCAAAAGCCGGAATTAAACCATCTTCAGACATTTCATGCATTTTTCTAAAATTAACGTGAGCTAGTCTAGCATGTCAAATCATACAATCATTCATGGAAGATGGCACAAAAATAGAATTATCACTAGAAATTGATTTATTCACAACATTTAAACGAAACATGCGATTTGATAAATATCCAAAACCAACAAACACACCACATTTGGACAGAATATATTTATCTGATTCAAGCACTTGTTTGAACCCTAAACTATTCAACATACTTCCTGAAACAAGATTCTTTCGGACCTTTGGTACATATAAAACATCAAACAACGTAATTGTTTTTCCAGAAGTAAATTCTAAAACAACTGCACCATTTCCCAAGATTGGCGTCATTGACTCGTCTCTCATGCGTAAGAAGGAACCGACCTCTACTAGTTCTAGGTCTTCAAATCATCCTTTATCCTTACTCACATGGCTTGTAGCCCCCGAGTCAATCCACCATGCACAATCATCATCTTGTGCATAAAATGATTCCGGAATGAGTGATACATAATTCTGGACAGAATTATCAAAGTTAGTCAAAAAATGACCTCTTTTATGTGGAACCAGGTCCATTGAGCGTTCTTGTCCACTCCCACTTGTTCCAGCGCCATTCTTGTTGAGTTTCACACAGCAATCACGCTTGACATGCCCAACCTTTTGACATCTCCAACAAACCAAAACCTTTCGGTTTCTTGTTGGGTTTGTCATGATCTTCATACTTGCGCTTTTTGCCTCTCCCCGTATTGTTCTGGTTAGATTTTTTATCCTCAACTAAGTGAACACGAAGCTGTCCAGATTCAACCTCACCCTTAATTTGGTCATTCTCTTGCGCACAAAGAGACTCCTCAATGTGCAAGTGACTCCCAAGTTGAACCAATGACAATTCCTCATCTTGATGTTTTAAATTACGTTTAAAATCCTTCCAAGAGGGTGGAAGTTTGTCAATTATACTCGACACGGCATAGGATTCATCAATACCTATCTAGTGGAGTTTAAATTGACCAAGAACACGAAGGAGCTCATTGTATTGTTCCATTACCGACCTTGATTCAACCATTTTATAATTATTAAAATCACTCACCAAGAACTTCTTACCAGAAGCATCTTCGGCGATGTATTTTGACTCAAGAGAATTCCACAATTCCTTTGCAGTCTCCACGTTTTGGTAAATATCAAATAACGCATCGGACATACCGTTAAGAATGTGGCCTCTACATATGTAGTCATCGTTCTCCCACTTGTTACGCCTCCTAGTTTGTTCCAAGGTTTCATCTTCCATCACTTCCGGCATCGGAGTGCTCAACACCTACACGGCCTTCAAAGTGGTGAGAAGGAACTGCATCTTCTTTTGCCATCTACGGAAATCATTCCCTTGAAACTTGTCCAGTCTGTCGAACTTGGTTGTCATCTCTTGCACGGTACTCATGATTATCACAAAGGATTATCAATTCGATTATTGGGGTTCGTGTATATAGGGGGTGATAATCGAGTACTTAGATTTCTTAAGGATCGTATAAGTTCACTTTCCGAATTGATATTTCTCCCCTATGCCTGGGTTACACGAAATTCAATTTAGGATAATCCTTAAGGACACTATAGAACTTAGGCACAAGAACTAGAGCCAAACTAGTGAGTATATGAATTATTTTCTCAATTTGAATGCCAAAAGTGATAAAGATATGGCGTATATCTTCCCTCTTACTTCTCTGTACGAAATATGGTGATATATATCCATATTACACGTTTGAGGCAGTTACAGCATGTTTGAGAATAATCGTGGCAGTCTTTGGAAAACTGCACGAAACTGCCCAACCGCTCTAGACCTCGGTATAGAACCACAGAGTTGGTCTAATGAGTGTTCTACCTCGAGTTCCACTGTCGTAGACACTTTGGAATAAAACGTGTTCTTATATACAAGTGTACACTTCACACCTACTAGCTTGTATTAGAACACGGTTCTAATCCCCATTGACACTCATGTCATTTCCAATTACACAAAACGGCTGGTGACACTAAAATCCCCAATAGGGTTCCATCCTAAAAGATCAACCTCATAGAAGTAGCCCAAGAATCATAATAAAATATTGGAAAAGGGTCAAATAGGTACATGAACTAACTTAAAGTGTTCAATTAGCCCCTTATATAAGAGGTTTTGCTCGGCCGTCGCCAATTGCGGCGGTTCTCGGTAGAATTTTTTGATGAATTTTTTTAAGCATCTTCTTCATTAAGTCTAGTTTACCCATACCAAATTTCAGATAAAAATGCAACTGGGAAGGCAGTCAAAAGATTTGTTGAAGATAACTGCGCAGTTAAATAGCGCAGTACATTTCGGAAAATCATTTGACACCCTTCCCTATTTCATTTTTAGCTGAAATTTGATATGGGTAAACTAGACTTAATGAAAAAGATGCTCAAAAAATTTCATCAAAAAATTCCATCGGGAACCGCCCCAATTGGCGACGGTCGGACAGAACCTCCTAAATAAGGGGCTAATTGAACACTTTAAGTTAGTTCATGTACCTATTTGACCCTTTAGCCTAAAATATTTAATTGTTTTAGATCGAGATATCCGGGGTGGGACAACAACAACTATCCTCACAACCAGACAATTGGTCTGGATTTTTCCGTCGTTCATTTTTTCATCGATTCATCATTGTCATTGTTTAATAATTGTGTCGTTATTTTTCATAGGGGTGTCACACCATGATTATTAATCGGTTCGTCTCTGATACCATGTTCAGCACCGGAGTTCCATCCTTAAAGGTCAAATTGATATGAGGAGTAGCCTAATATCTTGATATAATATTTAGGAGGTGTTTGGAATTGATTCTGCTTCTACTTCTTTTTTAAAGGAATCAGTTTTTAGATGCTGGTCTCCCCCAGCTTCTAAAAAAAATTGCTTCTAGGAGTAAATTAGAGCACCAGAAGTACTTCTGCACTTTCACATAGGTATATCGAGCTCTTGGAAGTGACAGAATATCGAGCTCTTTCCACCGCTACCACTGAAATTATTTGGATCGAATCTCTCTTGCGTGAGTTGCGGCACCCGCTCCTTTCTCCTGCACTCCTCCTTTGTGATAACAAAGGTGCTACAACATCTTCGGTCAATCCTGCCTTCCACTCCAGCATGAAACATGTAGCTATTGATTTTCATTTTGTTCGGCAGCGGGTTCAAAGTGTACTTTTTCAAGTGCATCATATCCCATCTTCTACTCAGATAGCTGATGCCCTCACCAAACCACTTCCCCGGCAACGCTTTATCCTTCTTAGAGACAAGCTCGGGATTTTTGGAAGTGACGGAATACCTGGCTTGCGGGGGCGTATTGAAGGAAATAAATAATTGACATTTATGGCATAATATTGCATTTAGCTGTTACATATCTCTATCACTAATATTGTATTATTATCTACCTTAATACCTTATAGACCTGATTAGAGGTTGTATAAATAACACCTATTGTAAACCTTTTAGACATCATCGAAGGAAACCTAATAGATTGACAGGTCCTCCTATCCATCTTATATCTATGAAGAATTGACAGGTCCACCCTGTAGCTGTTACATATCTCTATCATTAATATTGTATTATTACTTACCTTATAGACTTGATTAGTAGTTGTATAAATAACACCTATTGTAAACCTTTTAGACATCATCGAAGGAACCCTTATAGATTGACAGGTCCTCCCATCCACCTTCAACCCTGTTGCCACCGGACTAGGCGCCCGACTAGTCCCCGCCTAGGCACTAGGCGGTGGCCGAGCGCCTCGATTTTCGTCTAGGCGCTCCGACTAATTGGTTTGCTGTCTAGGTGATTTAGTCGACCGTCTATGGCGCCTAGTTGAACGCCTAGAGCGCCTAATCGGCCGCCTAGGTCGTCTAAATTCGCCGAACATTCCTTTACTTTTTAATTTTAATTTTCTAAGCGAAATACATACTTTAACTTTACCTATGGATATAAAGAAATGAAGTTGTAAATTAAGATAAAACTATATATGTTTGTATATATACCTAAATTTTACCATTATTTATATTTATAACATAATGAAGTTAATGATTAGTTATCATATACTACGTGTCTACGTATGATTAAATGTGATAATTCTATCATTTGTGTTTGTTAATGTATGTGTGTATGTGTTTGTGTGTATATTTTATTCACACAAAAATACAATATTACTTATCATATTTATGCAAAAATATAGATAAAAATGCAATTTCTGTGTCTCTGACTAGTCCCCGACTAGGCGCCCGCCTAGTCGCTAGGCTGGCACCCGACTAGCGCCTAGCGCCTTTTAGAACATCGAATATATTCAATGATGTCTAAAAGGTTTACAATAGGTGTTATTTATACAACGACTAATCAAGTCTATAAGGTAGGTAATAATACAATATTAATGATAGAGATATGTAACAGCTAAATGCAATATTATGCCTTAAATGTCAATTATTTCTTTCCTTCAATAGTTCAGACGAGAGAGAAATGAGCAGAATCACAAATCAATTGCTTTAAAAGGAAAGTGTCAAAGTTTTTTGGGACAGCCAAAAAGGGAAAGTTGGCAAAGTCCAATGGAACGGAGGAAGTATAATTTACGGGATGAATGATATATATGAGAGAATTTGGATGAATTTAGCATAACTTTTTAACATTGAATATAGTTATTAACAAATCGCTCACTTAACTAACAATTCAACCACAACCCCACTACCAAGCACGAGCTAAACTTCTACATTTGAATCAAAGCCTCGTATTTCGAGCTCATTGAGCATCTAGCTCGAACCAGAGCATCAGAAAAATTAATTGAGCCAAACTCTAGTCCAGAGTATTAGATCACGGCTCAGCTCATTAACACCCCCACTCTTGGTCTCAGCATATATCCACCCCTATAATACTGCCAATATATCCATTCATTGTAATTTATTGTTGCCTTCAACGACAAAATAATTGGATGGAAATACTCAATCTCAATTGGATTTGCAGAAAATGACAAAATGTTTAAAAACAGTTCCCCATATTGAGCTATATCGTGAGAACCGTCTATTCAAAACAGTTTTTACTAAAAAGGCATCCTGACGAATATAGGGATTCAAAAGAGCTATAAAAAGTAAAAACATCCTTACAAATGAACTGATTGGAGTGAAGGTGTCTTGGCCTTTAGCTACTGTCCATGGCAAACCTGCAGACTGGCATGAAGAACATGGGGATAAGTCATATCTATTAAATTGAAGCAGGCCGTTCAATCAATTCTAGAGGCCTGTTTTAAACCACAAACTGGGGCCCCATAGTATACATAAAAATAGTATTAAATAACAATGTAATTAAATTTCATAAAATATAAATATATTAGACATTTCAATTAAATACAAAGGGAGTAGATTCCATGTACTATGACACTAGGCCTGTAAAATATATGCAATAGATAGCCTAGGTGTTTTACAGCGTACGGCTAATGTGGAAAAAATAAACCTGGAATTAAACCTGAAAAAGTTAACTATATCACCAATACTCATCATCATCATTACCCCAGTGCCACAAAGGCTTCCACCTACGGTGGGGTAGGGGGGTCGGATGTATGCAGTCTTACCCCTGTACTAAAGCACAGAGAGACTGTTTCCGAGAGACTCTATCACCAATACTACATATTAAAATTTCGGGAGACCCACATTTGTGCCAAGCACCTATTGCAGTTGTTAAAAGCCAGCACTGAATGGAAGAAAACATCAAAAAAGCTGGATTAGCAAGATGAGAAGGGAAAAGTTATCGGCTGGATAGATGAAACTAGAAGAGATTTCTAATTCTAAGGAGAAACAATAAAAGAAAGTAATGGAAGGCAAAAATGCAGCATAATATTTACTAGTCTACGGAGTACTTCAAACATGCCATTCATAAAATTGGACACTGTTCAATTTGACTCTATTCTAGAAGAGATTTCTAATTCTAAGGAGAAACAATAAAAGAAAGTAATGGAAGGCAAAAATGCAGCATATTGACTCTATTCAAACTGGAAGATGAAAAAACATACCTTTGCAGCAGATTGGATCTCCCGTGCAGTCATATCCAACGCAAGACCATAACCTGAAATAAAATCCTTAGCCAATCAACTTGTTCCCATGAGCATTATGAAATACTGTCATCATTATTTTTCACCATCAGCACCTTAATCCCAAAACATTAGGATAGGTGGAAATGTGGAATGCAATTTACAGCAACAACTACTTTTCTAAAAGAACTTAACAGTTCAAGACTATTATTTAATGTAAAAAAGCATAGAAGAAGGTTGCATGCCGGATGTTTTTCCTGGTGCAGCTTTCTTACAAGAAATCTGTACTAATGAGATAACACTCGAAACTGGCATCACCACAAATTATATTCACTAGCACGAAAAATATCATAAAATATAGATGAATGGAGATAGTTGTTAGTTTTAAACTTGTACGTAGTAATATTCATGTACGTTACAGATTGATATTGTAAAACCAACATGCAATATTAATCAAAAGGCCACTCAGCAACAGCTAGGAAGCAAAAAACAAGGAAAAAGGTGAAAATAAAGAGCACAGTTAGCAATGTTAAACTGGAATACGATAAAATATATTTTTTGCAAATATTTTCTAAAATGAAGATGTAAAGTATTGCAAATGACACCACCTACTTACAAGAATGGTATTAATGTAAAAACAAAGAGAAACATTTATCGGTGAGATTTTAGGGAATGTGATGAAAATAAGAAAGTTGTGTTTTTGTTTGGGAGAGTTAGAGGAAGTCTAGGAGGAAAGTGGAGTAGATATAAAATCCTTCAAACTGCTCGTATCACTTTCCCAATTTGAGGATTTTAGGGAGTTTTTTTCAAATCCTTTCACATTTTTTATCAAAGCTATTCTACATTATTTTTTATTTATATCAGAAAGAAAATTTATTCTAAAAAATTACTCCCTCCGTCCCTCAAAACTTTGTCAAGTTTGACTTACATGGGAAATAATAAAGTAAAACAGTGCGGTTGAGATTTGTGTAGAGCAGAGAGAAATAATATACAACCCACAAATTCATTGATTAAAACGGAAAGTGTCAAAGTTATTGGGACATCAATAAAAGGAAAAAACAAATTTATAAGGGATGGAGGGAGTATAATTATACAAACTAAGATAGTTTTAATTAAAAATCAGATCACATACGCGGGGGTATAATAATCCATCCCAGCTTGTTCATGAAGCCAAACATGATACTCTCTATGTTCTCTTTTAACCACCTCTATTTTCCTCTCATTTTACATCCCCTCTATACTTCTCCTTTGTACCAATTAAAGGCTTAAGGAGCTAAATAAGATTTCTGAGGTCATGTGATTGTAAAACTAAAAAATAAATAGAAAAAACTCTACATAATAATATTATTTTCATCCTGGTTCATTTGTTTTATAATCTCACACCACACCACACTTATAATTTGTGTATCTTCAGCAACCAAATAATATTGATCATGTGTATATATTTTTGTTTCTTTAGGTTATGAAGAAATATTTAGGCATGAATCAACATTAATTAGCAAAACTGTATGCAAGAATTTGATAGCAATATTCGAATTAATTTTATATTTAGGTTGATGAACAAAAAGATGAAATATGAACACTTTGTAGTTTGTACAACTGAAGGTAAATTATTATAATGCGGGAAAAGGGTCAAATAGACCCAAAACTAACTTAAAAAGTGCAAATCACCCCTTATATAGGAGGCTCTGTCCGGCCGTCGACATTTGGGGCGGTTCCCGGAGCAATTTTTTGATGAAATTTGTTGAGCAACTTCTTCATTAAGTCTAGTTTACCCATACCAAATTTCAGATAAAAATTCAACCGGGAAGACAGTCAAATGATTTTCTGAAATGTACTGTGCAGTTAAACTGCGCAATTATCTTCAAAATTTTCTTAAACACTGCACAGTCAAATGATTTTCCTAAACACGGCTAAATTTTATGTTTTAAGATCAACAATTGCTTTCACAATAATCTTCGTAATAAATCATTTCTTACTGGCAAACCGAAACACAAACTGAAGTCAAGGGCTAGCTCCATGACCGGTTCAGAGTTTAACATTTCTTAGGCCATCTCCAACAATCACCAAAACTTCCACCAAAATAAGGGATTTGCCATTTTTTTCTCCACCAGTTACACCAAATGATGTGCCATTTCACTAAAATGGTGGAGGAGGGGTTTTCTTTACGCCATACTTGGCACAAGATGGTGATGCACCATCTTTCTTTTTTATTATTTTTTCTTTTTTTCAAAAGTGACCCAAAGTTTTGGTTGTTATAGTTTTGACCCATTTTCAGAACATTAAATTTAAATTAAAAATTTGATAAAAATAAAAAATATATAATAAAATTTAAATCACGCAATATTATAAATAAAGTTTCAAATCGGAACAACATAATAACAGAATACAAATGATACTTAAGAAAATAACATAATTAAAAATACAATTAATAACATCGTTAAAATTAAAAACAACATTATTAAAATCATACTACCTCCGTCCCGGTGGACTTTGCCAAGTGCAAAGTAGGTGAGACATAAGAATAGTAAAAACTGTGTGGTTAAGGTTTGTGCAGAGGAGAGAGAAATGTGCAGAACCACAAATTAGTTGATTTAATAGGAAAGTGGCAAAGTTTTTTGGGACAACCAAAAAAGGAAAGTTAGCAAAGTTCAATGAGACGGAGGGAGTACATAATACATACTAATTTAGACATTAGTAGTCACTCAACCCGTTTCTAAACCCTCCAAAACCATCAAACAGATTCCCAAATCCTGCAGATGAGCCTCCTTGAGATTTTTTTGTAAAATCCTTGATCTTTCTCTAATGAGATACGCTCGCGCTTGTGGATCGTCAATAGATTTCAAATCCATGAACATAATTTTATCTTCTCTCCTATGTTCTTTATATACCATATTTTGTCGCTGGAATTCCAATTGTTCTTGTTTATCTAACGATGATTTCTTCAACATCTCTATAAGTTGCTTATTGTCGCTCTTAACAGCCTTAAGCAAAACAGAAGTGTTTTCATCGATTTTCTTCTTCGATTTGGTTTTTTTGACCCCTGTTGGTCGTTTCGAAAAATCAGATCCAGAATCAGTATCAACTTCTTTATTGAACGAAGATGACAATCCAGGTGATAATGAAATTGGAAATTGTGGATGGGAGTTTGATTGCGAAGTGTCGTAGTTAACTTGTCTTTTTTGTGAAGCATCATGTCTTGCAGTTGACACGTTATCTTCAAATTTTTCTAAAATTCTTAATCATATCCAGAACATGGTCAAATTTAAAACTTTTAGAATATTTTGGTTCTTGCATAATTAAAACTGTAGCACGATCTAGCTGCAAATCATTAAAATAATATATGTATTACATAGAAGTAAAAAAATTATTCAAAATTAATATTATATTATACTTGCAATATCTTTTTAAGAAGCACCACTTGGATTCAAATTTTCAACTTGTCTGACACACCCATATAGCTTTCGTGCCTGAGTAGTTATTATATCCATTCTTGAATGAAGTGAACGTATATTACGATACTCGTAATTTTGTTGATGGTATCATTGTATTTAGCCTCTAACTCGTGACCAAATAATATTTGCGGATTGATATCTGCCGGTGATTGGGTCTTGAGTAATGTCTAAGCACACTTCACACAACAATGCATCTTCCGTTATGGTGTAACTAGTTGATCTTCAGGTCACTTTGGTCGTAAAGAAAAAAAGATATTCTATAGATTGTGAGATAGAGGTTTTGATGAAGTGTTATAATTCATTGCATTAGTATTTATAGAATGTAGAGGTTGATAAGGAATCCTTAGATTACCCGTTGGATGGATTTCCTTATCTTCACAACCATTGGATTCTTATCTTTTGAGATAAGCATACTTGTCAGCTACGTACAATTTGTGACACAAGTTGATAAGGAATCTTAAGATTACCCGTTGGATGGATTTTCTTATTTTCACAATCATTGGATTCTTATCTTTTGAGATAAGCATACTTGTCACGTACTACTTACAATTTCAGACACAAGTTGATAGGGAATCATTAGATTACCCGTTGGATGGATTTCCTTATCTTCACAACCATTGAATTCTTATCCTTTGAGATAAGCATACTTGTCACGTACTACTTATAATTTCAGACACAAATTGATAGGGAATCATTAGATTACCCGTTAGATGGAGTTCCTTATCTTCACAACCATTGAATTCTTATCTTTTGAGATAAGCATACTTGTCACGTACTACTTACAATTTCAAACACAAGTTGATAGGGAATCATTAGATTACCCGTTGGATGGATTTCTTTATCTTCACAACCATTGAATTCTTATCGTTTGAGATTGAAAAACAACGTGGATCTCCAAGAATGTTGGGAGGTCTTGATATATTGTCAAGAAGTCTCACTATGTCATTGTCATTAGGTCTTCATAGATAGCGCTCTTCATATATTTCGACAATACATCGACAAAACCTTTTCATACTTTCAATTGTTGTAGACTCGCCCATTTTAACGTACTCGTATGTTGCATCCGCAGGCACACCATAAGCCAACATATGAAATACAGTTGTTATTTTTTGTAAAGCTGATAATCCGAGTCTAGCTGTTGCATTTCTTCGTTGATGGAAATAGTTGTCGTGATTTGTAACTGCACCAACACTTTGTAGGAACAAATCTCGCGACATACGATAACGTCGACGAAATAATGCTTCTCCGTAACGTGGATTTGGAGAGAAATGGTCCAGGAACAAATTATGGTCTCCCATTTCTTGATCACGGTCTATCACCACATGACCATGAACTGATCCACCGTGCCTAATAGGCTTATTGAGCTCACGAATACAATGACTTATTGTGATGTTGTTTTTAGTGTCACCATCATCATTTCTTCTTCATCATCAAGTTGTGTTATAGTGTTCATCACTAAAGCATCATCATCCGAAGAAGAAAACGATGATATGTAAGAGGATGCTACAATATTTAAGTTCATTTTTTTGTTGATGTGGTGATCCATCTTATGTGTTAATTTGTTCATATTTATACAAGTA